ATGTGGATTTAATCCCTAGCAGGCACACACAGGAGTGCATGCACCTACACACACACACAACACACACACACACACACACACACACACACACACACACACACACACACACACGAGAGAGAGAGAGAGAGAGAGAGAGACAGAGAGACAGAGAGACAGACAGAGACAGACAGAGACAGAGACAGAGAGAGACAGCGAGAGAGCTAGACAGAGAGAGCAGAGTTTTATTATTTATATACAGTGTAGGGAATACCAATACTGGATTGTTATTCCAATATCCATTCAGTTCCCCTTAGTTTGGATGTTCTTGCTCAAGAAGAGTTAAAAAGATAAAATCCCAGCCTGAAAGTGAGAGGTAGCCACAAAGCCCCACCCCTTCCTGAGGATATGTTGGTAATTGATAGCTACCAGGAGAAGGAGAATTAGCATTTTTAAAGGAAGTGGCTCCTGATAGCTCTAATATGCTCTAGTTGATGGCCACGTACCTGAGTGTATATAGGCAGAACTAATGGTACTCAATGTATTTTTTTTCAATTTGGAGGATACAAAGTTGTATCATACAGAATGGGCAGTAGATATAAGGGAAGGGGATGAATATGATCAAAATATAATGTATGACATTCTGGATTAGTTATCTCTATTTTTTAAAGTCTATTTCTACTTTCTCTGGATCCAAAATACTTCCACATTTGTAGTGATCTCAAAACAAAGTGGCTCTTAACTATGAGAAACTGGAAACCCTAAAGACTGATTTGAAGCATGGTTTAGGTTTACGTAATCTCGATGTCGTTGTTCTCAATGATGGCTTCTCTTTTGTATATTCAATGGTATATTGTTGAATTAATCTCATTATTGTGAATTATTTGCTTCTCATTGGGGAAGCCTGTTACAACTTATAAGTCGAATATGCATGTTCAAATACTAGCTTACAAATCTTTAACAAACATTACATCTTTACTATGTCTGCTGAAATCAGACCTTCAATATACTATTTCTCTGGGTAAAGCCATCTTCTAATTTATACTTTGACCCAAAATTCTATATAGTACATTAAGGGGAAACAAACTGCCTCTATCACTCTCTGAAACACTTCAAGTCACACCATTGCTCTTGTAAGGAATCTAAACACTTTTAAGATCTATTAAAGCAAACAATAGAACATTCCTTTGTTTACCTCTTTCACTTTATATATTGTTATTTTTTTGGCCTTAAATTTCAGAGACAACACAAATTCATTAGTTGTTCTTGTAAAATGTGCAATATCTTACACGTGTGACATTGTTTTTTTTTTATGTCTGTATCTGTATTTGTCTGCCTGTTCTTAGTGTGATCAACTTGCTTAATTTCCATATATATCTCCAACATCTCCTTTTCATGAAATATTGCCAGAACCATCTCTGTGAATTTCTCATTACTGCAGTCCCATATTAGCGTATTAAGTTATGTATATCATCAACAGGGCTGTGAACTCAAATGAACTAAGTTCTCAATACATGAGTATATAATATGTTAGACCACCTTCATAGAACTTAGCCCAAGACAGGATTTTGCATGCATGTGATTGATACTGGAAATGATCTTCTGGGAAAACCCACAAGAATAAGAGCAGATCAGGACAAGGAAGTTGGGAACTGAGTAAGGAGCAGGAGTCGTGTTAGTTCTTGGATTGGCAATACCTTAAGGCCTTCACTACACAATTATGCTCTTGGGGTAAAAGGTACGTCTTTTGTACATCCATGTTTTTTGAAAGTGGGCCATACGCAAAAGGGTACAAAATTTCCAGAAAGGTGTTTTTTGTCAAATAAATGTAATTTCACAGAGGAAACAACTGAGTTGTGAGTGCTCAGCAGTCGTAAACAAGTTGGAGACGGGATTCATCAGCTCAGTAAAAGAGAAGGCACCTTGGGCATTCTGACAAAATCATTTGTCTCTTTTTTTTATTATTTTTAACACTGGCATTGAATTTAGTTTAAACACAGTTCCATATGCATGCCCATCACACACCTTACCACTGAGTTATATGACCTGTCTAAAAGTTTTTTCTTTTTTTTTTCAGTTTGCTTTTTTTATGTATGGGGTCCAGCTAGGTAATGCAGGCTGACCATAAACTCATTGTATAGCGCAGGATGTCCTTGATCCCCTGATTCTCTATTCTTCACCTCTTGTGTCTGTGGATTATAGGCATGTTCCACCACACCTGACACTTACATATTCATATTAGGATGCAATATGTGTGAGTTCTATGATTAGATTTTTTTTTAGAATTCAACCTTTAAGCTTGTTACCATGGAAATATTTTGAGCTCTTACATATGTAGGAATAGTGACTTAATTAAAATACTTTTTCCAATCTCATTTGAATATATTGACATTTTCCAGTGTATATAGCTTTTGTTCGTGAAATGATACTTCAGTATGAACTCTCTGGAAAGCAATTAGTTCTGAGTCCCAATTCCATCACTGTCTTCATCTAAGTTCCCTCAAATTTAAGGGTCTCAGAAGAAAGAAATAAGGATACTGCTTCCTTCTTTTATTTTCCAACATAGTTTTCTAGCTTCAAAAACTTCCATTGGTTGTAAACAAATATGTACTGCAGAGGAATATGGAAAGAGGCTGTTCTCATGGAATCTTCCCACAGAAAGTTAAACTTTTTAAGCGAGGCTTTATAGAAGGATATTTTATTCTGGAAGAATGAAATACAGATTGCATTCTGTTCTCCACAACTACTTGATAATAACTTTTTGTTTTGTATTTTTATTTATTTAAAAAAGACAAAAATTTTAAATTTACCTGGTAACTTACATAATCAGAAGTATCTAGAAATACGCTTTTTTACAGTAATTTTTCCAAGTAAACAGAACTTATGCACTGAAATAAGGAAAACCTGAAGGAACTGAATGAATCAATAGTAATTTTAGTCAATAAGAGTAAAATTTTATGTGGTCACATATCCTTGTAAGATTTGAGATGTCTTTACTGCACAATGCTAAAAAATATTTGATGCATAATCAAAATGTCTTTTAAGGAGATACTGCTGTATTTTGGACTGAAATGTCATCATGCCCCTAATTTATTTTCTTCTAGTTAATGGGAAAAGTGGATACATGGGATAAGAAAGGAAGAATTTCTAAATATAATGTAAAATATTAGAAATATTGAAAGAGAAAACAGTTTTGTTATTTACTTAAATATTTGTTCAAATATTTTGAATGGACCTTAATGTAACTGATAATTTGTCATATTTCTTCTCAAAAGTTACTGATGTTTCAGGTATATGGATAGTTTATCAGCTATGTTGGAATCTGATATTTTGTATGTGTATCAGGGAAGGGATATTAAAAGATGCTGTCACCGGATATCGGGGAATATGCCTGTTATCCTAGGATTCAGCAGTTGACACAAGTAGATAGCAGCTTAGACATATTGCAAGTTCCAAGTCATTCTTGCTACACAATAACGATTTGTCTGAAAAACAATGGTCCTAAAATTTTCTTTGGGAAGTGGTCCCTTTGGGAAATACATAAAGCAAAACCTTAACCCTTAGCTTCTTGATTTTCTGCCACAGTTTCTTCTTTATACTTTCCTCAATATTCACAGAAGTCAGAGCAGTAACTGCTTACCCCTGTCTCTGGCTGTGAAACTGCTACCAGAGCTTAACTGAATTGTATTTTTTTCCATATGTCTTAACTATGACATATTCATTTCTGAAGTTATCAGCATGGGTCTAATCAGGGAAAGAAACTGCACTGTAATTTGCACAAAATTTCTATCATAAATGATCAAGTTATAGAGAATTATGAAATGTAACAAGGGATTCTAATACTAAAGGGATACACTAGTATCAAAGAAAAATATATTGCTCTGCCTGGGCTACCATAACAGAATATAAAAATGGAGTGGCTTATGAAATGATAGCTTATTTCTCCCAGTGCTGGTGGCTGGGAAGCCCAATATCAAGGTACCAAGAAATTCAGTTTTAGTGATGGCTTTTTTATAAGTGGCTACCTTCATTCTGTGCACTTACACAATGATCTCTTTGTGAGCCCCAGTGGAAGAAAAAACAAGCTTTCATGTCTCTACATCTAAGGGCACTAATCCTATCTGAAGGAGCCACTGCCTTCTGACCTCATGTAATTCCAAATACCCACACCTGGTCCCCTCTCCAAACACCAGCATATTGTGTTGTTTCTTCTCTGATGTGTGCAGGGGAGGTAAGGGGGTGGCTGTACAAACCTTCAGTTCACAGTAAAAGAGGGTTTTAATTGATAAAAGATTGGTTTTCATTGTCCAAATCAACACAATTGAACTTGCAAGTAATGGATCCCATTAGTTGTCTATCCCCAGAGCAGAGACGTAAGCAGTATTGTAAATTTATTGCCTTGCTTAACTGAATGTTAGAAGTCACAGAGTTTCTGCATTAGTAGAGCTTGGTGGTGATACAACTGCCCCTAAGGTTGACTAACACATTCTTTCTAAAGTTCTTGGGGGAAATATTCATCAAAAGGTGTCTCACCTGAAGAATTGCTAAAATAAATTTGCCAAGCTACTGGGTACCATTCACTTCAGGAGTCAGGTGCTGGGAGAGCCATGCATGCTGCAAAAACCTGCCAAGTAATGCTAGACCAGCAACGTCTCTCCAGCCCCCTCAACTGACAAAGCTTCAATGCTGCAGAACAAAGGAAAATATTTTAAAGGCCCAGAATTATTTTTACAGAGCATGTGAAATGGTATATTTATAACTGAATAACAATAAATAAGTAATGAGCTTACTGATACAAACTAAAACTAAACATTGGAAGGAGCAAGTAAACAATGCACTGTTTGCCAGCAGAGTAAACTACTTTTAACGGACAATTCTCAGTGTTATATTCTCTGTGTCTAGAATAAATCTGATTCAATGCATATGCTCTGTAAACATTTAAGTGAATGAATGAATGAAAAATGTGTTGCTAATTCTTTTCTCTAATGGTTTTCTTCTCTTTCCTTCTCTCTTTATTACTGCAGCTGATGGATGCACTGATTGGTCTGTTGATATCAAGAAATACCAAGTTTTGGTGGGAGAGCCTGTTAGAATCAAGTGTGCACTCTTTTACGGTTATATCAGAACAAACTACTCCCTTGCCCAAAGTGCTGGACTCAGCTTAATGTGGTATAAAAGCTCTGGTCCAGGAGATTTTGAAGAGCCCATTGCCTTTGATGGAAGTAGAATGAGCAAAGAAGAAGACTCCATTTGGTTCAGACCAACACTACTACAGGACAGTGGGCTTTATGCCTGTGTCATCAGGTACCTTTTAATGAAATTATTATTCACTCTATGAAACTACATAGTGTTTTCTAATACTTAAAGCTTCCTGCTGTCACTTTCAACTGTACATATTGTCTCAATATTTGCATGTGTTGCCATGTACTAAAATTTAGAATCTAAATCATAAAAAGATGGGATTGGAATTTATATTGAGACATTATTTCAAGCTTATGGAGAAAAGAGATACCATCTGGGTATCTACTTCTGTTCCAGAAATTACTAAAGACTATGAAATAAAATTTATAGAGGAGGTAAAATGTTGCAAATAAATTGTAAGCAAAGTCTTGCAGAAAAGATGCATAGTTTATTGCTAAATGGGCTGTAACATTTTGTTATTACCCTTCACAGACAGACAGAGCAGTGACATCTCCGGTTTATGCACATCTGCAAAGATGGTTTAGGTTATAGTGATGTGTGTGTGTGTGTGTGTGTGTGTGTGTGTGTGTGTGTGTGTGGTGCCTGTGCACACACAGAAAGAACAATAATCTTGCCATATTAGGGAATATAAAGGTTCTGTTATAGAACCTTTTGTTAATGACAATTACCAGTCAATTACAAAAATCCTGAGTCTCCCAGGGCAATGAGCAAAGTTAGTAACAAGTATTTGTTATTATCCTTAAAGAAATCAATTGCATAGTTATACATATTTTTCAGCCTAGAATAAAGGATATGTAGTTTACTTAATAATAATGCATCAAAACAATATTCATTTAACACATTAACAGTTAAAAAAATCTCAGTTTAAGCATGTTTAGCCCTTCATGGACTGTGAATCACACTCTATGTGAATGATAGTGGATATCATTACAAAGCTGATTATAAGGAAGGAAGGTGTGTTTAAACCCATTTATTGACTTTTCTGAATTTCAGTGTTTGAAATTATATAATGAAAACTTTTTAAAGTAGTCAACTCTGGACTTTGACAAAGTCTCAAAACTACCTAATATTTTCCTCTAATTAAAATTCAGCTTCTACTTCTGAAATTGTGATTAGCACTAATCTGTTGCTGAAGTTTTCTCCGGTCCTGCCCAGCCCCATGGACACCACAGCTGCTTATAAAATAATCACTCAGAAGCTTATATTAATTAAAACTGTTTGGCCATTAGCTCAGGCCTACTACATACTGACTAGCTCTTACACTTAAACTCAGTCCATTTCTATTAATCTGTACGTTGCCACGTTTTCTGTGGCTTTACCTGTGTGCCGTTACATGCTGTTCCCTGGATGGCAGGCTGGCGTCTCCTGAGTCAGCATTCCTCTTCCCAGAATTCTCCTTGTCTCCTTGTCCCACCTATACTTCCTGCCTGGCTACTGGCCAATCAGTGTTTTATTTATCAACCAGTCAGAGCAATACATTCACAGCATACAGAACATCCCACAGCACCTCCCCTTTTCTGTCTAATCAAAAAGGCAGGGTTTAACTATAAGATAGTAAAATTATATATAACAAAACAATTATCAAGTAAGAATTACAGTTACAATATCTAGTCTATTTATAATATGTAGTCTATTTGTATTTGGCAAAATTAAAGAAGATATCCTATCTATCATATATTTGTGAGCCTAAGGTTTCATATCTAACTTATCTTTTATCATAACTAAGGAAATTATAACTATCTAGTCTTCAACTACATCAAAGACCTGAGAAAGATATAATATTACCTGCGAAATGGGAGAAAGATGCAAGCAACTTTCAGGAATCTTGCGAGAGTAGACAGAGACAGCTGGCAGCCTGGACAGTCATCCAAAGTTCCTCTGTAAAGTTGGGGCATCTGTCTTTAGCCCACAGGCCTAGAGTCTCTCAGTAACTTTTTCTGTGTCCTGTAGAATGTCTGGCAGTTTTCTCTGTGAAGCAGGAAACTGAAAGACCATTTTGCCAAGCAAAGTTCAGTGGTCACCTTCCTATGGGTCCTGCATGTCCAGTTGATACATTTTTTCCAAGCTGTCCAGGCAAGAACAGTTTCTTGCCCAAATGGCTTTTTTTCCCAAGAAGAAGATAAACTCCACATAGAGTGTCTTCAATGTCCATCCTCCTCTCTGAAGTAAACCTGGTACTGCAAGGAGCAGACATGTCTCACTGTCCAGAAAGTCTAAATTTTTAAAACATTTTAAATGCCATATTCTGTAGGTCTTTGGAGTGTTTGAAGATTACCTACCTAAATGAATTATATCTATGTATACCTAGAAAGCTTAACATGACTATAAGTTTGATTATCATAGAAGACTATTATTCTGTATTTCTTAACTATACATTAAAATTGAAATGTGTGACATAAACATAATACCTCCAATGAGAGTAGAAATATATGTACAGTATAACAAAATTAAGTTTAAACTTGTATCAATAAATTAAAATCCATAACAATGTAAAACATTTGTAAACAAGTTGTTGCTCTTTAAAAGTAGGTTCATTAATCTACCTTTTCATCCTATCATATCTATATCCTATCCGCCATTTTCTTTGGAAAGAGGTCTGTATTTATAATCAACCCTCTTTAAATAAAAATAAACATTTATAAACAATATTTTGGGAATTTGGGTGTAGCTTCTCATACTACTTCCTGCTGGATGAGGGCACTATATTCTTATGGGGACATAAAGAAAATTTTAGGATTATGGAGTAGTCCGTGAGGCTGTATTGTCTGAGTCAGTTGCCTTGAAACCATTCTGGATGTTGGATCATCTGGGCCATGATGTCATTGGAGACCTTTCAGGGGGTCTTGGCTGGTCAAACCTGATATATCTTAATCTGGAACAAATCCATAGCCTCTTGTTTCCTGTGGAAACAAAAGCAGAACTGTGACATATAGATTAGTAGAAATGGGTTAATTTAAGATATAAGAACTGGATACCAAGAAGCCTGAGTCATTAGGCCAAACAGTTTTAATTAGCATAAGCGTCTGTGTGTTTATTTGGGTCTGAGTGGCTGTGGGTCCAGGCAGGATTGGAGATAACTCCACCAACACTAATCACTGCTGTGTACTAAGAATCACCTTTACACTGTACTGTAGCTTATGCTGAACCATGGCCTCAGACATGTTAGTATGATAAAATACCTTAAAATCACAAAAGAGTTACACATAAAAGAATCAAAACACAAAAACATATATTAGAAGTTTAAGAAATACAGGCAAATGAATGTTGTAACTGAGAAAGGTATCTAATAACTTTCTGAAAGAACAAATGTACCTTTCTTGGGCAAAGCTCATTCTCTTAGATTCTAATGAAACTTTTACAATCAGAAATTACTTTTATCAGAAATAGAGGTTTTCTGTGGGTATTGATAAATGATTGCTACATTAATATAGGTAAAGAGGACTATTTAAACCACCTGCTTATGTTGGACTGTCACTTAATTTCATATTTTCTATCTGTCATGTAAAAAATTCAGGTGACTATATAAAACACATAAATGCAGGGTCATCATTCACCTGAAATTAGTCATGTCAAATTGCATTGAAACACGCATTTTCATCATTTGTTGTTGACGGTAAAATAATGTGTCACATTAGTAATCTGAATTTCAAAAGCACTGACCTGCCATTCCTTTATATGTTCAAATATAACCTCTGATCCAGTCCTTTGAGAAATTTCAATAAAATGACCCCTGAATTTAGAGCTGTAAGAATGAATGAAAAGTTGACAATTTTCCAAAATGATGGCATTTGCCATCTGTTCATATGTCTACATTTTAATGGAAGGTGAAACTGAAAGGCAAAAGGCTTAAAGTTTAATGCGTGTCAAGCAGCATTCAAGAGGAAGTGACAAAGTGAGGAAATAGTAACTCTTGCCACTAAAATTCAAGCATGCAATTGATTTGCAGCTCATGATGTCATGGCTTCCTTTTCCAATTTGGAGAAAGATACTAAAAGTCTTTATAAAGAAGCATTTAAAACAACATGGCTTGCTGTTGATGAGTTCAGACCTAAGGGTTGTTAGTTGAGTCTCTGACATTTAGATATCAGGCAGATCACAAACTGTCACGATTAGTTTCTGAATAATCCACTAGCAAAGAATTTTAGACTTTTCAAAGCATTAGCTTCTAAGATAAGCTTTCAATTTTTCCCATAAGTGTATGGTATTAACTTACCAATGACATAGTTTAACAAACCTTATGCACAGCTAATTCTTATTTATACCTAAATATGTGCAGTGAAGTATTGTAAGTCACAGAAATATCTATGATTACTGTTACTATAATGAACAAAACTTTCCTTCACCTTTTGAAAGAAAAATACTACATAGTTGCTTGAACCATATAAAGCATTTTTATTCAATTTCCCTTATTTTTATTACTGATTTTATAAAATGAATGAAAGAGAATCACAGGTTTTTTTCTATCATTACCACTTACAGAAATAAACATACGTTCTAAAAGAATACAGATTTTCATGTATTCCTGACCTCTTATTTTTAATTCATCACTCCAGAGTGATGAATTAGAAGTTTCCTATACAGAGCTGGCCAGCACACATAAAAGCATTCCAATGCCACAAATGGTGGCATATTGTGGATCTATGCTTTTCATTCAAATGGTAATTCTGAATTAATTACAAAATTGTAAATGGCAAAGAGAAATAGCGTACAATGACATGGTAAATTCTTTCCCAAGGTTTGTTCAATGGTGACATTTTTCAAAACTGTGGTCCAAAATCATAATGAGGATAATGGCATCAAGGCAGTCAAGGTATGGAATAACACTACCAGTTCAAGGAGCTCTCCTGTTCTTTCATAGCCATGTTCTTTCTATTACACTCAAAATGGAGGCCATCATATAGTATATAATCTGGAATTGGATTTTTCATTCAATATAACTCCTTTAAATTCCATCCAAATTGTTGCATTTCTTTTTATTCCTGAATAATCTTTGTTGGTTTACTACTTCACTGAATGGCATCTGGTCTTTTTCTGATGTGAGGCAGGTAAAGCTAAAACTTCTCCCCTCAGTGGTAACCTACTCCTACAATGTTAGCACAGTG